AATCCTAAATTAAATATACTGTTTACGAACCAAATCACTTTAATAAAAAGATTTTATAAAACCGCAATGGAAAAAAATCTGAATTCCAGATTGCTTATATGGTCTGTCAAAAGAGATTTTGTGTTCATTTTTTAAATGGTTAAAATGAAACGTAAAAAAAAGGAACCTTTTATATTACATTAATTACTACATACCGTCTTAAAAAATATAGTTATAGCATCAGTGAATACGGCCCGGCATGGCCAGGTGGTTAGGACGCTCGACTCGCGATCTGCGACTATTCGTTGGTAAAAAAAGTAGCCCAAGAGTTGGCGGTGGGTGGTGATGACTAGTTGCCTTCCCTCTAGTCTTACACTGCTAAATTAGGGACGGCTAGCGCAGATAGCCCTCGTGTAGCTTTGCGCAAAATTCAAAAATAAACAAACAAACAGTGAATACGTGAGAAAGCTCAAAAGTGGTGTGTTCACTTGAAATAACGTGACCATTTATATGAATTTTATGATGTTGATTCCTAAAGTATGGTGTTATTCTCAAAGGTTTAAAATATCCTAATATCCTAAAACATGCATTATAATGTGTTAAACTTAATGTAATTCAGATAAATAAATAAAATATGTTATAAAGTATACAAGAATCTGTCTTATCTATATACAGTTAACATTCATAAAGTCAGATAATGTCTCACTTTTCAATGGCAGTTAAAATAAAGTACACTATCCATTTTTTTTGTGCCATCTGCTAAGCCTTAGACAGAACTTTACTGAGTGACGAAGGTCTTTTCTTACATGAAGAACTGTCGAAAAGGTGTTTTTTTCTATCATTTTGGCTTTTTGACACGTTTCCTCGAACAAAGTACGTGATTTTCGGCCAGTAAGGAGAAATATTGATGAATAGCTCGTGATTTCGATTGTAAATAGAATTTATCGATTATATAAGCAGTAAAGCAGCGTGAAAGAATTGTATCATACAAAATTTATCCTAAAAAGGTTTATTTTTATTGATTTAAAATATTTATGTCTGACCGCAATATAAAGGAGGCTAACCGGTAATTTTGTTATGTATACACATACACACACTTTTTCCTACTCCCTGGAATGACTTGTAGTTTCATATTTTTTAGTTTATTTTTTTGCTTTGGTAACTTAATTGAATGTATGCAGACGTATTGGGTAACAATCGAAAATGACACGTGTGTTTCTTTTTGTATTTTTCGATATTTTTAGAAATCACTCAAGGCTACCTAAGCTAACCGTCTACAATTTTGGACTGATAGGCTAGGCAAAAGGCATTTAATCAGTAGCATCAAACGCAATCGAAAAACAGGATTTGAGCGTCACTCTTATAACACTATGCTCCCTTGACTCCAAAGCTCAAACTCAAGTTTTGCTGCAACGAAAATTGAGCCATGTACTCTAAGAAAAAATTATAATTAGGAACAAATAATAAATCAAAATCCTGCTATACATGTTTAGGTACGAATTATTAAATAAAATATAAAGTCATATTTAAAAACAACAACATGGAAAACAATTACAAATAAAATGACTTAAATTATGGTAATGTTATGAATACACCAAATTTACGAGCACACTATTTTATGGCTACTTTAAATAATTTATATTTAATAGCTCATAAATCTATTGTGGGTGTGAAATTACTTTATCTAAAAGAAGGGTGTGAATTCACAATGTCTCAATGATTCACACCCATAAAAGTGTGAAATCACACTTTTCTCAGAATGTGGATTCTTGGATCTACAGCCCGACACACGCTAAAGACTAGTCCACGCTCGGCTGCAGAAGTGTGAATCACGAGTAACTTGTTGATTTAGTAAAGATGAGCCGCCAGAATGACATGATAATTTTCCCGAGAAGTGTCGCGTTTGCTTGTTTGGTAAGGATGAGTCATCAGAATAACATGATAAGTTTTCTACAAATGTGGTTTTTACTGGTTTAGTAAAACTGAGCCGCCAGAATGACATGATAATTTTCCCGAGAAGTGTGATTTTTGCTTGTTTAGTAAGGATGAGTCATCAGAATGACATGATAATTTTTTCTATAAATGTGGATTTACTGGTTTAGTA